TGTCTGTAACAAGATTAAATAGAGTTAAGAACCTAGATATAGCAGCCTTCTGCTGGGGTAAATCTCGTAAGTTAATTAAAATCACACTGTTCGCTTGGTATAAAATGTCCATGTATGTGTCCTGTTGCTTGGTGCTCTCTCAGAAAGCCTGTATTTGTCTTGGGAAGCTCTTAGGCTCTAGGTCAGCATGTACTGATGCACAGCAAGGCCAGAATGATACAAACGAAGCAGCAAATTTTAGGCTGTGGCCTGGTAGCCCCCGCACAGCAGCCTGTGTCTCCCCAAAGCGCTGGCCTTCGCTGTGGTCAGGACCACCCCGTCTTCTCAAAATTATGGTATGGATAAAACCACCTAACTCTTCCGAGGTCCATGCTTGCATATTAATGCTTTCATCCTTAAAGCTGAATGATTTTATTATTTTCTAGTTCGATGCTATTCTGAAGGTACAAAAGTAAACTCGAAGAGAAGTTTTATTTTCTTATTTTTCCTAATTGTAAGACCAGTGAAGAGGAAGGGACAGTATGCACTCACTATTACAGGCCTCATCTGTGGCTTGAAAACAGTTACACAAAGGAAAAACAAACTGTAGAAAAAATAGAGAGATAATTCCAAGAGTGTCTGGCTTTGTATACATTTTTCTAGCAAGGGTTATTAGATCTTAACCAGAATCCTCCGTCTCCCCCAAGTTTTGCAGCTAACTCACGTTGACTAGTTTGTAACAAAAGGTGGACTGTATCACAGTATGTTTAGCTAGCTAGTAGCAGCGTGCACTAAAGAGCACAGTGAGTATGGTATGATTTGCTAAGTTAACGTACAGGTTTTTGCTTGAGACTACTTAAAATGAGAAATCTTTTCCGCAGATAACCAATCCAGCAGCTGTCTTACTCATCTGGCATTTCTGTAGTTCCCTTTTTTGCTGATTGGAAGAAATACTATAACTATTGTTATTAACATACTCGTATGTATGCCGATATCCTGTGTTGTTATTCTAATTATGGAAACTTTTTTTTGTGGATGTTTTGTTTATCATATCTTGTGAATCATCACTCTTGTGTAGCCAGGCAGCGCAGGGAAGAGAGGAAGTTTTGCCTTTGAGAATCACAAGCTAATAAAAAATGTGGGAGGTAACTATGATCAGAGTAACACATGATAATTCTGTATTACATAAAAGCTTGTTCTATATATTGACATGATTGTCATGAATTATTCCATTTTTATATCCCCTAGTGTTCTGTTGTCAAAACTGTAATTGAAAGTATATGCACTAGAATATAAAAATACTGAATAATTTGGGCACCATAGTTAATTTGCCAGTGAACCTCTTTCAATTGATGCTATACATGATACTAAATATTAGATTAAATGTAGATGAAATTTACTACAGCATTATATAGGTCGCAACTTTAATCATAAGTCATAGCAAAATACACATTTGTTGCTTTAAAGTAGTTCAGTGGAATTAGTGAAAGCAGCCTAGATCCCCTCGTAAGCTATCTGAAGCTAAGCCAAAAATAGTGGATGTTAATTCCATTTCTATCCTAATCCTTTCTCCTCTTGACTAACAATTTTATATATATTCATAGCAGCATGTCAACGTCAAAGTTCCTGTTTTCAGGTTTGTCTGTCTGGTTGCAGGTTTCGGTTGAATTTCCAAACTAAAATCTTTCAGATCAACTCAAAATCATCAACATTTATTTTTTGAGGAAAAAAAAATCTCCTAGAAATGAGGTACTTTGGAAAACAAAGTTAAGAAAAGCAGCCTTCTCTGCCCAGCATGCAAAAAATAAGAGGTTTCAGCTCCCTAAGTACCCATAAGTCGGCTCTGCTTCTACCCACGTTCGTAATCCATTCCTAATTAGGTGACTCACAAAACGCAACGGCATCATGCTGACCCTGAAGTTAGAGCAGGGATGGTCCATGTGTGGGGTTTGGTTTTGTTGGGTTTGGAAAACACAGGCCCTTCCCAGTTCCCGTGGCCGTGCCCAGGAGCGCGGGTGACTCACGATGCGCCCACGGCCTCCTGCAGCGCCCGCGTGGCGCGGGGACGTGGCGCCCGCGCGTGACACTGCGTGGCACCTGGCAGTCACCTCCAGAGCTGTGCGTGTGCGATGGAGAGGGGGGAATGCGGGGATGGAATTGCACACCCTGTTCAAACCTGGTGAAGAAAGGCAGTGCAGGGGCAGATGTGCCCTGGGCTTATGCCACCAGTAAGCCTGTATTACTGGGGGGGGAGGAAGGGGGGTGGTCTTTTCCCGTCTCCTCCTGCTCTGACGTTGGTGACGCTGTGGCTGGATGTGCGCACGGGCGGGCGAGGGCCGTGGGCCCCAGCACCCTCGTGCGGAGCCACTGGGCTGCAGGGCGGCCTCAGGCCCCAGCTGCACCGCGTGGGCCTGGCCTTGCTGGTGCTCACCTCGTGCAGTGCGAGGAAGGGACGAAGTTGGGAACGCCAAGCTTGGCCCTTCGACCTAGCGGGAACGTGCGTTATTCTAAAGGAAGCTGATTCAGCTTGTTCGCTGGGGTTAGATTTTGCTTTTTTTCATCCTTATCTATGTCCTAAATTATCTGGTGAGATGCTGTTTTGCTCTACTGATAATTGTTTGTTCCTGTTGTGTCTGATGTCCCAAGTTCGTAGGATAACAGTTACAACTGTGCTAGCATTGAACACTTGCATAGCTGAGTAAAGGTGGTATTAAAATAGCATCCGTGCTTGCTGGTTATAATGTTGTATCTGCATTTGTACATGTGTAATATACATAATGCTGTCCCATGCTTGCTTACAATTTCAGCTGCAATTAGTGTCTATATGGGTATTGTGCTGGATATTGTTTTCAGTTATGTCAGTATTTTTGGACTACTTTTCTTTATAAGGATGATTTGTTTCATATTCAGATGGTGAATCACCAGTCTGAAATGTGTCTTCCTGCATCCATTTAAATAGATTTCTGCAAAAATGCAGCATGAAAAGATCAGAGCTCTTAGTGTCCATGTGTATTTACATATTTTAACCTTATAAAGTTTGTGAAAGAGCTCTTCAAACTTCCCCTGTCCTGGAAGATGTCTGCAGCACGGTATCTGTGAAGCTGCTTTTCACCTGAGACTCAACATTTGTGGGTGGGGATTTCCATTATCAAATGTTGTTTTATCCCTGTGTATGAGAGAGCCTTTGCAGGTATTATCTTTTAAAGAGATTAAATGCAAGTTCTTCACCTTGCAAACAGCTCTGTTCTGGTGTTTAATCCTATTGACTCCTTTGAACCCTATATGCAGACTATACCCATACGTGCAAGTGGCAGCAGGGTGGGTATCATGCTGGAGAAGCAGATGAAGTGTTCTCAAACTGTCACTTTCGCAGAGCTTGCTTCATTTCTAAGTGCTTTTGGACAACATGCAGAAATAGAGCTGTGTCCAGCCTGGCAGTCAGTGGCTGTTTTTGATTATTTGGGCTGTGCTCAGCAGAGCCTCTAACTCTGCAATCCCAGCTCTCCTTTGCAGAGCAAAGCTGCTTTCCTTGCCACCCATGGACACGCCGGTCTGTGGAGCCTGCTGGGCTGGCATTGCATGGAGTGCAGGGCAGACCCACTGCAGACCAAGTCCATAAGGAGTTTAACTCCCAACTGAGAAAACGTGCATGAGGAGGGCAGGTTGCTTTTTGTGGGGATGTATTTTTTTCAAAGTTGAGTGAATCTTAATGCTACGGGGGATTGCTGCCAACTGCAAGTCCCTGCTGCAAAGCATGGGAGCAAGAAACTTATCAAAGAAGATATTGACAATATTCTTATTCTTAATGTTGTTTTGTTTGGTGTATTTTCATCATGGAAAAATAGCCAAAGTAGGTAGGTGGGAAAATTGCAGCCTGTGCTCATATCTTGCTGAAGTTAACAATGAAAATGGAATTACAAGTGTAAAACTTCAATGGCTGTTGAGCCCAGAAGTTGAGCTCTGCTTCTGTGGATGAAACAAAAGGCTCATTCCTCATCAGTTGTTATGGGAGCTGACTCTCCAAGCCTGTACATAGCATTGATAGGATTGCAACCACTTCTCCTGGGAAGTTGGAATGGGTTCTCTTGCCCTCTGTAACTCAGTGTTACAAGTGTTGTGTATGCAGAATGTTTCTGTGCAGCCCTTGTACAAACACCATTCTTGTTTCATGCGTTCATTTTTTCCTCAGTGGTAACAGCTCATGAGAAATTGTAAATGTTTGTGTGTACCACCTTCTGTGGCAGAGAGTAAATCTGATGGAAACTTATTTAAAAGGGGGACTTTTAGCTTCCCCTAAACCTCTGCCTGACAAACTACCACTGAAGGAAAGGTGAGTAAGCAAACAGCATAAGATTTGGCTAAGTTGATAAAAATGGTCCACTGTATCTAGTTAGATTTCATTATAATCTCTCCTAAATTTGAATGTGCTGATGTGAACATTACTAAGTTGTAGGAATATTGGAGACGAAATGGTATTATACCAACCAGCAGAAGCAAGTGTTTTCTAACAGTAGGAGGGAGTGAGCGCACTACATAAGTACAGAAGAGCTGTAATTTTTTGGTTAAAGATGTGTTTTGTTTTTACCTAGCTTCTGGTGCAGTGAGCATTTACCTCCTGCAGACACTGTGGCTCGTGGCTGGCACAGCACCCTGGACCATGTGCCCTCCCCAGGCTCAGTGCTGACATGTGCCCTTCCTGCCCCTGCTGCCGGTGCCCAGGTGAGCGCCCTCTCCAGCGTGTCCCTGGATCCCTCTTTGCTGCCACCTCCTATCGTGCCCCCGCTAAGCAACCCAGCCTGGGGGAAAAACCCTTTGCAGAAACAGAAAATGGAAACGCATAAATTTGTGCACAAGACTAGAATGCAATGCTTTCCTGAAAGTATTGGTGAACTGTGAAAAGCAAGAAGCCAAGGGTATAGGTCAAAAGACAGTGTAAGCAGTTGCCGGCACATGTGTTTCCCTGAACTACTTCTAATTGCTTCCTTTTCTCCCTGATTTCTTGCAGATCTTCCTGTTCCACCATGTCAGCTGACAGCCACCAGCTCCACGCTTACTCCCACCAGGACACACTCAACTCTGCCTGTTACGGTTCCTTGAACGTCAGCAGTCACCCCCTGTCAAAGAGCTCCTCAAGTCTGGTATGTGCTGGGCAATGGCGTTCAGAGGAGAGGCAAAGCAGCAAGCAGGAGCTCAGGAAGAGCCACAGCAGCACCGTCTGCCAAAACCTGGGCTGCGGGAGCGACGCCAGGAGCCTGCCGAGCCCTGCGTGGTCCTTCACGCAGCCTGGGACATCCCTAGTCGGAACCATGAACAGTCAGCCAGCTGACGATGCTGCACAGAGCAGAGCTACGGCTACAAACCACTTCGTTATTGCTGACCAGTGCCCTGCATCCTGTGAGCTGGGGGAGACCAGGATGTGTGTCAAGAGCAGCACTGCTGAGAATGTTTCTTCTGCCTGCACTGTGCACCCACAGAGCATGTGTAAAATGGAAGAACTGGGAGCTGGCCTTCAGAGAAGCCACTCAGACCTAACCTGCATCTGCAAACAGCAGGGTTATATCCCTCACATAAATGCCAGTGCTGTTCACTCCAGCCTGAGCTCTTCTAGCAGTGGGCATGCTCCGTCAGTGGCCAGGATGCCTTTCCAAGCACAGAGACATGGATCAGAAACAAATGAAAAAACCCATTATCAAAACCTTGCAACTCACCTGTCAGTTCTACCTAGAGACCAAAAAGTACCCACAAATAGCTACGACAGCGGTGGTATTCCACGTAATACTACTGTGTACACAGACCCTGGAACATTTCACACTGCTGTTCTAGGGCCCCACATGCCTGGAAATGGTTTCTCCAACAGGACACTGTTCTGTCAAGCCACCGGGATTATACAGGGTGGTCTGACTTACAGTAATACCCCAAACTGTGCGTACTCGGCCCTGGTGATGAGTGTGCATAACAACTCTGCGGTGCCCTGCACCCCAAGGCAGGACCCGTGTATGAAAGCAGCTGCCACGGTCGCTGCCTACTGCCATTCTTTGCCCATACCGTCGATCCAGCTCGTCCCACGGCTGGTCTGCTCCGTTAGCGAGTCGGGGAAGGAGCAGGCAGCGCCCGGCTATTGTCATTCCTTGTCTGCCTCAGACATTCTCACGTACCCCAAGCTGGTGTCATCGGTGAGCGAGTCGGGCCTGGATGCCAAGAGAGTCCTGAAGTGCTGTGACGTTCCCGGGGAAGAGCCGCCACACGCTCAGCACTGTGCCCAGCAGGGCAGAGCTCCTCCAGAAGCCGCCTGCGTTGCCTTCAGCAGCCAGCACGCGGCAGACGCGGTCACGAAAACCAAGGACGTGTGGACTATGACCTCCATGAATGACTTGACCAGAGGACTGAAACAGTCTCTGGAGTGTAGAGATGCCGAAGTACAGACTCTTCCAACCCTGGAATACAAATCTGTGGCCACAAGCCCAGCGGCTGCAGCAGAAGGCCAGCTGCATGTGTTCCCAGAGGTGAATCTGCAACCGGACTTGGAGGCCCCCAAATCTCCAGTACGTGAAGTGAGATGGGACGATGAAGGAATGACGTGGGAAGTGTATGGGGCATCTGTGGACCCAGAAGTTCTTGGTTTAGCCATTCAGAAACACCTTGAGATTCAAATAGAACAATTCCAGACAGAGCCCGTTCAGCCGGCTGAGAAAAGCAATGAGGATCCTTCGGATAAGGAACCACCTTCTGCTAAAGCGGGGAAGAAAAGACCATTCCGGACAATGATGCATTCCCTGAGACACCCGAGCTGTTGTGCCCGGTCCAGCGCGGCAGCAGAGTGAGCGGAGCTCTGCGACAGCCAAACTGTGAATAAATAACACAGTGCACGTGGACAAGCCACTCGCTCCAGCATGAGCTGGAGCCGTGTGAGTGACCGTCAGACACGCAGCACGGGGAGGAAAACCCACGCGTGGGCCGGGTGGCAGGACTTGGGATTGCACCTGCATCGTGCCCTCGGAGTGCTCTCGGCTGTGTTTAACGTTGCACTGTTAGATTCTTCTGTGCTAGTTTTAACTAATGGGATAAGGAATAAGCCTACTTTTCTAAATGATGCATCTTTTTAAAATCATGTTGAATTTCTCTGTGTTTTAATTTAAAGGTAGGTGACAATGATAGGAAATAATGCTTTAGCTGAAGTTCTTGTCATTAGATCCTACTCCCTTAAGTATTTTGGGAAGTTATTTTGCTGTTAATTTATAATAATGCTGACTATAAACACATTTTAGCAATAGGTATCAGGGCAAACTAGTGTAATGCTGTATTACAATAAGCGTAGCATTTGGCATTTAGTTCTGGAAAGTACTTCTAGTATTGCTCACATGAACTCATATTTCTTCAACGTGATGTATGGTTGGCGGATGCTGCTGCAACTCTCAGATTAGTTTGCAGTTATTTACATTCTAAATATTCAGAGCTAATATTTACCTGGTGGTTGACACAAATATGCAGTGCTACCAAAGATTACTCATGTAATGTGAATTTTTATTGAATGCTTATTTCTTAAATACATGAAACAAAAGCTGATCAGTCTGTCATACTCCATGAAATATAAGCAGTCTTGTTTTGCTTGTATTAAAAGTAATTTCCAGTGAGTTCTTTCTAGGTGCATCTGTCCTTAAGAGTGGTTATTTTGTTGTTGTATAAGCCACAGGCAATAATTTGCATGTAACTTTTACTCATCAGTTTTGATGTGAAGCACGGGCACAACGTGAGCCTTGCTGTCTTCCCCGAAGCGCAGCTCTAACATTGTTTGTTCTGAATGACCCCATTGTAACAGGCAGCTTAAAATATTCTTTTATTAGCAAAAATATTCCCAGCGAGGAACCGTTTTCCAATGTGCTGCAGCAGCAGTGCAAGGCCTGGCTGCATTGGAAGATTTGCTGTAAAAGCCGAGAGCACCGTTTGCAGCATCGTGTGTCCAAGATTCTCTGGGAAAGCAGGCATGTGCAGCATTTTTTGGTGGAGAGAGAGGAGGAACATTCATTTCTATTGCAAAGGAAAAGTTTCCAGGTCAGAGAACTTAGTACTGTGTAATTATCTATTCTTTCTTTAGGTATGTGAGGTTTTGCTCATTTGTCCTGGCTCGCTATAGCAATGACTGAATAGACTGTCTATGTAATGTTAACCTAACAACTATGTTTGAACAGAAGCCACTGATCCTCAAGGCAGTAATAAAATGTCACCCATAAAATCCTTAAATGTAGGTTCCATTACCTGGAAAGTGCTGTAATTTAATAATGTACAGGATTTCAAGATGAAGCTTTCATTTCTGGGTATTAAGCACTGCAAAACTCCCTTTGACTTGAGTAGACCTCATTTAGGCTTTACAGCATTTGCTTTGATCAGGTCTGAAGTCGGTGAGTTTTAATCAAATTCAGTCCAAAGCTGGTGGAATGTGACCCAACATTTAGTCTGTCTTTATAGCTGGGAGCCTCCAGGTTTTGATAACGACCCCTGAAGTTCTGAAGTTACCTTTGTTATACTTGTATAAAAGTACAATCTCTGCTTCAGCAGAGATCTGTTACACTTCCAAGATCTGATTACTGTTCCTGGACAAGAAAAATATTATATGTCAAGGGGAAAGGACACCAATGTTTTGTTAACGAAGAAAAACAGATGTTCCCGCATTTCTAACAACATAGCTCTTTAGATACTAATTTGAAGCACTGTTGGACAGAGCATTTGTGTCAGAGGATTTCCTTTGCTTTGGCAAGGATTAAAATATATGGGATATTAATGGAGATTTAGGAAAAAGAAATCTGAATATTGACTGTATGGATAAAACGTAAGCTGTTACATTTGTATGATGCGTGTCTCTTAAAGGGAATACGGAATCACTTTGCATTTGGATTACAAATACTTGAAATTTCAAGTTGTACACTTGACTACTTTTCATATTGGACTTCCGTTAAAGTGTTATTCTTGTAAATTTGTAAGAATTAGGATTAGTATTGCAGCAAGACTGTATCTCTTTTTCTTTTTTTAATGTTTTCTAATTTAGGAAAATCCAAATTGCACTCTACTTTTAAATTTAAATGGGAGAACTTAACCAGATGATCCTTTGGCCTCACGCTGCTGGAGGAGACCATTTTACTTGCTACAGCTTGGATCATGAGCTGATGGTGTTTAGGATGGCCCCAAATCTCATCCTTCCTGCACAGGTTTTGCTTTAGGACCCCCTGCTCTAGAATAAGCATCTTTCCTAGCTTAAGGAATTGTGTGTGTTGTATAACACAGCCAAAAGTTTTTATTGCAATAGTGTTCCTGCTCCCCTGAGACAGGAGTGAAGTGGGGGAAAGGCTGCTTGGTGTCCAGCTGTAACCATTTGGGATGTTTCTGAGAGAGAAAAAAAAGAAAGCATCTCCAGTGTATGTACTGTGGGACACAGTCCTCCTTGATCACTTTGCTGTTTAAAAACAGTACGAAATAATGGCAAGTTGGACTAATTGCATTATTGGATAGACATTTAGCCTTTCAAATCCAAAGCAGGAGTGACCTGTCCAGACACATGCTGAGGTAAGGGGCCTCCTGGAAGGATGTTATTCCTTGTTAGAGATGGAATAAGGAAAAACTGTGCCAGTTCGTTCAGGAAAAGCCATTTCCAGTGAGGTTGGAAGAACCCCACACCTTTGCACAGGGAACTAGACCCAAGAGTTCCTGGCGTGGAGCTGGGTCGGGTGGCCCCACGGGCTGCTGGCCCCTTCCTTTGCCAGGCCTCCAGCTGAGAAATTGCTGTGTTAATTCTTCATTGCCATCTGTTCCTTTCAGACATGTTGAGGTGATTAATTTGTTTTCCTAAGCTCTTTGAAAATGAAAGCAGTCTATTAGCGCTAAGTACTACTGTTAATTGGCAGGAGAGGAGGGGGGAGCATAAGGTTTACTAGATGTAAATAAATACTTCTAATCGAGTAATTCCACAATCCGAATGAAGTAACTCAGTGGAACTTGCTGCATCAGCCATTTGTCTTTCCCTTCTAAGGACCTTCAGGATTGGAAGAATAGAGAGTTTAGGTTGCTTACTTTTTTTTTCTTTTCTGTGTACTCAGAAATATACATTTGAAAGGGCAAGAAAAAATGCACGATGAGCTTATTTCCAGAGCCTGATTATGTAAACGGCTCACGAGCTCCTGCTGGCCCTTGGGTGAGGGAGGCGAAGCTGCTGCAGGGGTCCGCAGGGCTGCGCGCGGCCGCTGAGGGAGGCAGGAGGCCACTGAGGGAGGCAGGAGGCCGCCCCGCGGGGTGTCCTGGCGCTGCCCGCGCTGAGAGCGGGCGCGCGGCCTCGCTCGCAGGCTCAGCCAGGGCTCCGGTGCCGCCTCAGCTCCGAGGCAGAGTGTCCCCCATGTATCCGTGTTCTGCCGGCACTCCGCCTCGCTGGGAAGCTGCTCTGCTGTCTCCTCCAGTGGCAACTCTGCAGAGAAGGAAAGGTCCTTGAGATTGGGCTAATCTTGGTGAAGTCCCGGTGAAGGACCAAGCATCCAGCCTCCTGCAGCATTTCCTGCTGCTCTGAGGTGCTGAAGGGATGTCCTTTGCTATAGTTGTTTGGATGTCCAGTTTCACCCTTCTCAAACTCTAGAAATGCCGGCTCTTGAGCCGATAGCTGTCACACATACAAGGGTCAATGTGCTCAGATAGCTCTTAGCTGTAGCTCCTAAGTCTTGAGAAGCATTAATCCTATCTAGTATATGACCTAAACAGATGGCATCTATCTTATTATCAGCCTTTCAATATACTACAGGCTATGCGGCTTGGGCAACACGTCAATGAAGCTTTGAAAAGTCAGGGAGAAAGACACTGGTGAGGACATGACACTGCAACCCGCCATCCTGCTCCAGGCACCTCCTGCTCCCTTAGGAGCAAAAGCCCTCCCAAGCAGCTGGCCGAGGCCCTCAGAGGTGTGAAGAGGGGAGATTCTGCTCTCCGTGTGGCTAAAGGTAACGCAGTTTAATGAATCTGTGTCAGAGCAGGGCCGCGGCTGGCCAGGAGCCCGTCTCCTTGCCCCACCTGTGCTGCGGGGCTGGCACATGGCCTGGCAGCACAAATCCACTCTCTGAGCTTTCCTGCTTCTGCTTGCCCTATACGTTGTTTGCAGAGCAGCAGAGCTGAGCTGGGAGCCCTGCAGAAACCTGCTTCTGTTGGCACCTTGTGGGGTGAAGCCGCTGCCGAGAAGCGCGTTACTTCTCCTGCCTCTGGCGTGGGCCAGAGCGTTGGCTGCGGTACCCCAGACCGGCCACAGGCTGCAAGTGGGTTTAACGCTGCCTCGTGTTCACGTTGTCTGGAAAACCTTGCAAATGTCAGAGAATCCAGAAAGCCTGTGCAAAGTCTGTGCCTAAGCTTGAACTTGGTTATGGTGCTCATTTCTTCCTTGTTTTCTCAGCAATCTGTGTTAGCCAAAAGTTATGCTTTTTTCAGCATTGACCTCACTCTGCAATAATTTTGGGTTCATGTAGTGCCATGCTTTCTTAAAAGTGATCTTGGAAAAGAATGAGAAAGGAAGGGAATGAAACGGAAGGGATGTGTTGTGATTGTGCAGGGATCTCTGATGTTCAACAGGCCCCTTTCCACCTCAAGTGAGAGGTACCAGCTTACCTCTCTGGCAATCTGGTATTTTTATCCACATAAAATTAAAATCTATAAATACCAAGAACAAATGGCAGAATGAAGGTCATCTGCCACGTGTTCCTCTAAGAATATTTTTTTCAGGGACAATGTATTGAAGCCACTGCACATTCAGTGTCTAATAACCAGACACAAACAAATCCCTCTCCATGAACATGCACATGAACTGTCCTCAAAGCAGGCAAACCAAACCCCGGCCTCGTGTCCCCAAACCTCTCCAGGCTGAGATGTGTGAGGGCTTTAACCCCAAGACCCAGCTCTTCTGGGAGCCAATTTTAGCAGGGGCCTCTACCCTTGCTGATAAACTTTTCCGTTAACATTCTGACTTTTTACATGTTCAACCTTTCTGCTATCCCCAGTATGTTCTTAAAATTATTCACGAACGGTGTAGTGTACACAGAACATTACTAAGGATTTCTTTTTAATATTCCTTTTCCACTAGTTCAAGTTGTATGAGCCCCTAAGTCCAGGATCACTGGACCGCTGGTGGTGGCATGTGACCTTGCCTACTGAAAGCAAATACATGTTTTGTCTGCGTATTGCGGAGTAGCTCACACCCTGTGCAGCCTTCGGAGAGTATTTCCTGACAAATACGGCAGCAGGAACTGTCTCAGGCACCGAACTAAAGCCCTGCTGGGGGCAGTTGCGGGTCTCACTACAAGCACATCCAGCCTCTAAGGTGATTTTTTTCAGTGACACAAATGTCATTGTCGTATTTAAGTCACTAACACGGTTACTGCTGAATAGCAATAGCCATTTCTGCAAAAGCCTGGGTCTAAGAAGCGGTCTCCGAGCTCCACCAGCGCCCTGAGGCTTCGGGGAGAAAAAAAAATAAAAGTGCTAACGCGCCCCGCAGGACCGAGATGGCGGCCCTCGCGACATGGCGCCGCAGCGCGACATGGCGGCGTGGGCGGGGCGGCGGCGCTCTCGCGAG